GGGGGGGGGGGGGGGGGGGGGGAGAAAAATAAAGGGACTGTAATAACGTCACTGCAGCTGGCGTTCAAGGAGCGTGTTGTACCAGCAACACAGGCATTTAATTGGTCATTAGACAATAGATTTTAATTTGCGTTGACAACGGGTTTAGTTTAAGTTGCCAACATTGACAAGTTGTTGACAAGTCGACGTTTCCATAAAACGCACTCTTTTATACCATAAGGCACATCTTGCGCAAAGAAACAAAGGATTTTTAAAATTTTGATTAGGAAAATGTTTTCTTGTGCATGTTTGGCGATAAATTGAGGAATGGCCCAGAACCAGGAGATATTTGTAATCACGCGTAATCGATGCTAAATGTGTCTGGCATGTTTTTCATCACAAGCATGCCTGTCATGCCTCCTGAACTCAGGTTGCAATGATGTTATTATAGTCCCTCTATTTTTCTCGCTTCCTCCCAAACCACCCCCGCCCCCTAAGTAGTTTTGACACTCATGCAAGATGGCAGCCGGTAACACAAAGCGCTCGATCTCGATGATCTTATGGAAAAATAGAGGACTGTGAACAGTCTACCTTTCTCTTCACTACATCTTTAAATAATCAGAAGAGGAGGTTGCACTGAGTGGAATGATGTCTTACATGATCCAAAATGGGTACCTATGATGCCCAATTTTTACAATCTTTTGAGAAAACTTCAATAGAATCAGATGAATTTTGAAAGCTCAGACAACATTGGTAACCAAATACATTGTCCTCATTTTATTTATGATAAGAAAAAACTTTCCTTTCCTGAGAAGTCTCCTAAGCAGCCATAGTCTCTTCACGCAATGCTTCTCCCCACGAGGAGCAATGTTGTGTGACAAGACAAAAAATGGCTGCATAGGAGACTATTTCCTGAGTGACTTTGTCTTTAATGAGTCAGTATTCCTGTTAGTGACTGAATGACTGAGTTTCCATAACTGTCTTGGTTTGTTGTCCTTTTTTAACTCAACAGTAATGGCTTTTGTTACGTACATTCTTGTGGCTGGACTTGTCATGGGAACACAAAACAGGTATGAGAATTCTCCAATCATGTTAGTATAAACCAAATTGGCACTCTGTAAAAGTGCTAAATCTCTCTTCTTTTTTTTTCAGATTTACTCCTGAGCAGTTAGGCATAACAGCAAGCTCAGCATTGGTGTGGCTGTTTGTAGAGATTATGGCTATTCTGTTTTCCATGTACCTCTGTAATGTGCAAGCAGAAATTAAATGGCTGGATCTGTTAGCATTCTGTGGCTACAAATATTTTGGGTACGTTTGTCAGTTAAGCAGTTGAACTTCATTTGGCCAGTATACATGTAACATGCTCAATGGCATCAGTTTAGTTTCCATGGCTTATAGCCAGTTTCTCTCTGCCTACTGTAAATGCATAGATTCTTTTTTTTAACAAATAGGTATTTTAAATAAGCTGACGATAATGATGATTATCATGATTACGATCAAGTTGCTTATCCATTTAATAAGGGTCTTTGCCCAGTCAAACACAGCCATTACTGTCAACTCTCACCTTGCAGACCCCCCGCTATAACAGAAACCTCACTAATACAGACAGCAGCTAATTACCCAGCAAAAACAGATTACAGACATTTGACTGAAGTAAACTCCCACTATTACGGACTCTTGTTAATGAGGACACTAACTCAAGGTCCGTACAATGCCCCTATAAAGGGATTGGACTGTATGCAGTCATGTCAACCAAACAAATTTGGTCAATGTAGTTACATGGCCAAGAAAACTGTTTTTCCTGCAGGACCAAAGCAGGGAAACCCGAGCGAGTAAGGCAGCAGGCCTATCTTGCCTGCTTGGAGCCAATCAGAACAGGGGATTTGGTTTATCTTTTGTTCTCGCAGCATCAGCTATTTAGTAACTATAAGATAAAACATGAGCACGGGTGGATACAGTTTGTACTTTTAGATAATATGAGTTGGAGATCTTTATGGGCATTAATGGGAATGCAAATTATAGTAACTACAATGAAATACATAATTTTATTGGTTTATCTTATTTTAAATCATTAATAAATGAATTTTGATTTTTATTGACATGATCTTCATCTCAGACTGTAAAAATACAAAAATTTGTTGGGTGCTATCCAGTTATCTTGATCTCATGCTCGGTCAATAAGGAATAGGAACTTAACGATCAGACAACGCGATGGCAAGGAGAACTTAAAAAAACTGTTAGGTTTAGAAGACAAAACAACAACTTTGTACGTGTATTACACTTTTTTGTACATTTCTTTGCCGTTTTTGCACAACTACGATGTGAAACTGCCAAGTTCTACATTTTATGGAGGGTATAAACAAGCAACGAACCAAATTTTATCTCTCTTTCTGAATTTGGATAGGGGTCCTAGGAATTCAAATCGGGGGTGCGGGGGGGGGGGGGGGGG